AACATAGTTGGTAGGGGGGGCGCCTACTACTACTACTACTACTACTACTCATACTACTCATACTACCACTACGACGACTACGACGACTATGACTACGAGGACTATGACTACGACTATGACTGCGACTGCGACTACTGCGACTACTGCTACTGCTACTGCTACTACTACTGCTACTACTGCTACTACCACGACGACTGCTGCTACTACTACGACGACGACGACGTCGACGACGACGTCTACGTCTATGTCTACTACGACTATGACGACGACGACGACCACTACTACTACTGCCACTGCTACCGCTACCGCTACCGCTGCTAGTGCTACCACTGCTACCGCCACCGCTCCTGATGTTACAGACAGTGCCTCATCACATCTTGCCTGTCTGTGACACAGGTGTGTAACCAATTGACTGCCCCATGCATGTGCTGCAGTTGCTTTCGACGGCGTGGCATCATGGAAGACCATGGCAGGTTGACAGCATGACACTCACGGTCAAGTTGACTGGTGTACGAACTAACTCCATCTTCAGAGTTTGCATATACTTGAAAAGATTCGCATGGCAACGCTTTCAAAATTCGGACTTTCTTGTCGCAACGCGCACAATCGCTGCTGGGCGTGCCGACATGCCAGTACGTGCATGCGGGCCAGCACGTCCTGCTCCTCATGTCACATTGCTAGTAAGCTTTGGCCAAATCTTTGTGCAGTCGCGCTACTGGTGGGAATACGCATGGCGAAATGCCGACCTGCACCGGGCGGCCTGCCAGCAAATAACATAACTTGACAGAGCGTCTGGCAGATTTGCATGTGAGATGAGGTGAGTACAGGCATAGCAACAACGCAAGGTGGATACGCAGCTTGATGAATCCTCTTTTTTTGCAGTTGCCTTCCAGCGCATGCCGTATCTGTCACGGCGTATATCTCGAAGCGACTAGCAGGCGCTAATCGCAGGAACACGGCTCTTTTGCTCCTGCCGTATGTGACCCAAAGCGTGAGGTTCCTTTGCCAGAGGAGGCTCTCACAAGCTGGCAGAGGAAGCTCAATCTATCTGGATGCTTCGAGGCCTGGCTTTACCAGCAACATGCCAGATGCACCCGGTGTCGAGGTTCAGACCAGTTGGGCGCAAGGCCCATGCTAACTACAGCAGTGCACATGCAAATCCATTGCAGGATTGAGTTGCCTAACTTGTGTGGCGTGCGAACACTTTTGGGAAGCATCCAGCCGTCGGCTTACGCGAGCTCATGGGAAGGTTGAGGCAGGCAGAACCGCTTGAGAAAAGTGTGCCAAGGTTAAGAAAAAGTGTCTTGCATCATAATGCAAGTCAGCTTGCCCTTCACTTCATGCAAGCGCCTTTGTTGACTAGCGGCCACTCTCACTGCCACGCTAATTTTAGCTCTACAGTCTAGATTCCGGCATTCCTCTCACAAGCCTAGGTCCAGCAGCTTCACCTGGCATTTCAACGATGGGATGATAGCTGAAGACTTGTTTTTGCAGCTTCAGGCCTCAAGCCTCGCCTAACCCTGCCGAATCATTCTGTCGCTGGGTTCGATTTCTGTAGTACAGCCCCTGCCTTCTCAAGCCGTTTTTAGGCCTTGACCTCAACGGCCAGGATAATCGGAGGTTGGTCCCAGCCTGAGAAAAGCGAACGGAACTGAGGCCAATGGCAGGCAGCATGAGCTCACTGGAAAGCTTGCAGTTTTGCATTTTGCTCAGCTGACTTCCAGAGCGTCGTAGTGAACTCGGCCTCCATAAAGGAGTCTCACTGGCCCTGACTCTACACAATCCCCAAAGGATGCTATCCGCAAGAAATGGTCCGATCTTCGTTCGAAGATGTCCACCCGAACTCCATGAAGCTTGGCACACAGGGCTATCTCCATGGCACCGCCCCAGCGGGAGCCCTCCCTCATTGAACATGCATATGCCTTAACTTCCTCCCCCGAATCCCACAGCACCCAATCAGCAATAGGATTTCCTGCCACTTCCTCCTGTGGGTGGTCCGCAATGTAGTCAGCAATCTCAGCCCGGAGGGTTGAGGCGCCCTTACCTTTGAGGCCGTGGTTGAGGGAGTGAAAGAGGCAGGAGCCATCTCCGGGCTGCGGCAAAACTCGCACAGACTGTTTGCTCAGCTTCTCGGATGGCACTTCCTCCTGCTTCGAACCACTCTTCTGGTAATTCTCATGGGCATCCTTATGGTCATCTCGAGGCTTCTTAAAGTGCGGGCAATCATCCGAGGCATGCGGTCCGTCACACTTGTCGCACGGCCCATTCGGCTTCTGGACTGGCGGAGGCTTGGCAACCGGTGGAGACAGTGCAGCAAGCAAAGCCTTCTGCGGCTCCTGTACCTTTTCACGAGGAGGCAAACCTGTGGACTTCTCTAAGCTTTTTTGCCGCGTCACTGCCCAGAGTTTCCTGTCCGCCTCCTTCTTCTCACGCTCCTCCTGTTGCCTCTTGCGCTCCTGCTCCAGCTTTTCTTGCTCCAGCTGCTCTAACTTTTCTAGCTTTTCACGCTCACGCTGAGCCTCTTCTCGCCTGGCTTGCTCCAAGCGCTCCAGCTCAGCTTTGTTCCGCTCCTCTTCCTTGTCATCTTTGGAGGCCTCGTCCTCTGTGCTGAGACGGAAAGTTACACTGTACTTGGCAGTTTTCTGGGCGGCAGAAAGAGCCGCTGCCACCTCCTCTGCTGGCAAACGCTGCCCACAGACAGCAACAATGCGCCATCCTCGATGGACCTTGCTGGACTGGCTGCTGGTGACAGCATTCCCGGAACGGCCACCCACCTTGAAGGGCGGGGCTTGGGGCAAGCCTCGCAGCTCTACGGTAACATCTTTGTCAGCAATCTTTGCCAGGGAAGGTGTCAGGCTGACTGCACCGCCTGTCCGTGCAGAGGAACGCTTCTGCGACCCGTCTGGACCCTGCAAAGCGACGGTTTGACCAACTAGGCTTGGCAGCGCCACGACACGGCCAGACAATCCATCGGCACTGCCAGCATCAGGCCTTTGTACCATGCCACGTTTGGCTGCAACCTGTCACTGACTTGCTGAGGCTTAACCCAACATCTGACTTTCATGCACGCCCTACTTAATGGCACCTCATCGCACAATGTGCCAAGCTGGTGTGCTCCCCTGCACTGCATGATACTTTGCTTGTCCAAATCGCTTGCCCTACGAGCCAAGTGCTGCAGGCAAGGGTGCAGGCATTATCTGTGAACGTCCCTGAACATGCTAACCCCCTTTGCAAATAGAAGCGCGCTACCTTGTTTTGAAGCATTGCTGCATATTGCTGCACTCTCTGTAGCTAGGCTCTGCACCAGTTTGTTGGCGGGCCACCGGGCACAGGAGGTGCATAGCCATAAGGTGGGGGAGGTCCTGGCCCACCCGCCGGGGCGGTGAAGCTGGGAGGTGGGTAGGGCACCGGAGCTTCTGGAGGCGGACCCGCAGACTTTGCCCAGTGCCGATATTCTGAATCGTTGCTGGGAGGCATGGCTGGTGGTGGCGCATAGTGTGCTGGTACTGGAGCTGGCTTTGGATAAGCTGGGTGCGGCGGCCAACCTTCGTGCCTTGGTGGTGGGAAATAGCCTGGTGGCGGCGGGTAAGCTGGATATCCTGGCGGCGGGCCTTGTGGTGGGCCATGTGGTGGAGGGGCGTGTGGGGGATGACCTGCGCGTGGGGGTGGGTGGCTGTAAGGTGGATACGCAGATGGCGGTGGCCCTGGCGGAGGTTCGCCATAAGGTGGCTGCCAAGGTGCAGAACCTGGAGGTGGGTAAGCTGGAGGCGCACCAGGTGTCGGCTGAGGTGGTGGGCCAGGCGGTGGCATTCCAGTTGGAGTCCAGGGCCCTGCGGGCTCATTCCAAGGCTGATGGCTGGGTGGCTGTTCATTCTCAGGTTTCCACGCCTGCCCGGGCGAGGGTGGTGCTGTCTCCCCGTTTGTATTTGGAGTCTCTTGTTCGGGCCTGGGCTCCGGCTTGGGGCTCTGAGCGCGGCTCTCTTTCTTGGCCTTCTTGGCCTTCTTGTGATCCTCCTTCTTCTTTTTCTTCTTTGCTCGCGAGCGCGACCGCGACCCGGAATCGGAGCTGATGGACCTAACAACCTTCTTCTGGGGCTTTCGCCGGCTAAGCTCGTCCATGTAGGCTTGCTCCAGCTCTTTCAGGTGGCTTGAACACCGGGTAAACATGGACACATCCTTCGTTGAGGACTCTTTGAATTCCGTCAGGTCGCAAACAAACTTCTCGTTTTCTGCTGTCCTGAACATCCATGATGCAGTCAGCTGGCCAACAGTGCAGGAGGGGTGAGGCAATCACTGCACAAATACACGATAAAAGAAGTTCAGAGCCGCGTGCTTTGGCATGGGAGGGGCATCTCTGTATATCCCCATGAAAAATGCAGGCAGCACATGATGGTTTATCGAAAGAAGCCGAGCTTCTTGGGCAGCACCACAACTCCACCTTCGCTACCTGGCAATTCACCGTCGAAGGCGAGGCGGAACTCCAAAGCCTGAGGCATTCACGGAATTTAGTCTTTGGGCTGGAGGTGACGTTTACAGAGTCTACGGCAGCATACTTCAGGCTCTCATAGATCCTGTACAGTCTGACAGAGCGGGGACCTCTTTTGGTTGGGGGGAAGATGCAGACTCTTCTGTAAATTGGAAATCTTGCTGTTCTCGCATTGGTGGCAGCGCTGCTGTTCTGACGGTATGCTGCTGTTCCTGGCATGCTGGTGATGGCACGGTGGTAGCGGCCTTGGCCTGAAAGACTGCAAGGAGTCTTTAGGCTCAATTGCCAACATCTTCCCCAAGCGGTTTCATAATGGCGGGCAGGAGGAAATTTGGGTGGAGATTTTTCTTGGTCCCTCTTTTTTGGTTCTGTTGGGCCTCTTTTTTTGGTTGGGGTGAGTGGCAAGGAGGGGTCATGGAGGGGGGAATAGGGTGGTGGACGGGGGAGGGGTGTTGTGGTGCTGCCCCGCTTGCACATTTTTCATGCAGAATGCTGGAACGATAGCGGGAAATCATGGAAGCCATAAATAAAAGTTCGGGAAAATCATGGCATACATGATGCACATGATGAAACGTGACAAAAAGCGATGGCACACAATGAACAATGCTGACGTTCATTTAAAAATCTTGCAGCAGGAGGAACTGATGAAACCTGATGAAAGATGATGAAATATGCCTCAACTTTCTGGCAAATCATGAAACTTGTAGAAAGCGCTGGGATATTGTCGAAATTAATGGAAACTGATGAGAACGGTGAAGTATGATGAAGTATCAAGGGAAATTATGATTAATGCTGAAACATCAGTAAACGTGACTACAGTATAGCGCATGACGCATGTAAGATGAACAATGATAACTCATGTCTATATGCGATTAGAGATGATGCAAAATCAGAAAATGATGAAATGCAACACATGATTGACAAATCTCGAATAAGCATACAATCTTAGGAAACATGATCAAATATGCCGGAAAATTATGAACATGATTCATTTCCGCTGGTGGGGATCATGGTGATGAAAAAATTTCGACAATTTCATAAATACGTGACGGCAAACTCTGAGAACTGTGCGAAATCATGAAAAACCAACAACTCAAAACACATGTGACGGCAAATTATGAAATTTGTGAGGAAAATCTTGAAAATGATTGATGGAAAATCCTGAAAAATGATGAAAATAGCGAATATTTTTTTTTAAAAAAAAGAATGACAAGGTAATGAAACATAACAAAAAACAATGAACAAGTGATGAACAGTAATGAAAAAGCAATGAG